ATAATCCTATACCATTTAATTATCTGATATGAAGATTGAGCTACGATAGACATTAATTTTTTGATCAACATTTTCCAATACACAGGCTACATTTGAACATAAACGGCGTCAGCGTGACGTTACATTGAGTATGGCTATTGATCTTGGCAATTGTGTCATCATTCCGTCGACAACCGAGTCATTACATCACAATTTTCAATTTAATTGGTTCTTAATAATATGCTTACTTGTTTCAGATTCAGTCGCTCATTACATTATTTAATTCAATTTCTTTATTCGTCGTATAAACTGATACATGACCATTATATTACTTGTTTGGTACAAATTAATAAATAAATAAATAAATAGGCCTTCATAAGTATACATACACAGTGATAACACAACCATTAAAACAACAGTAGATTTTTAAAAGTATGTAACTAACTACGGTAAAACAACAGGTTTATTTAAGCCGTTGATTGGCAATTGGAAGAATGTATTATTAGGTTTATAACTGTACCATTACTCTTTCTGAATAGTATGAAGATGGGGCTACAATCGACAGTGATTTTTTGACCAACAATTTTCCACTACATACATTTGAACATAGACGAGGCCTACGTGAGGTAACTTTAAGCATGGCTCTTGATCCTGGTAACTACGTCATCATTCCTTCGACATACGAGCCAGGTAACGAGCTACAATTCTTGCTACGTTTCTTCAGCGGATATTCTTCACAGACTGAGTAAGTTACCATGATCCTTTTAATGCAAATCAAAATAAGGATTATACAGTATTTACATGTGCGTGATTCCTCTTGAAAGTCTGTCAGCGCCGTCCTAAGAGGTGCAACATGCGTTCATTTAAATTAAGGCCTACTTTGCCAAATATGGAACATAACACGAAAATACGCAAGATGTCCATCTCGCCTAGGCTAACTGCTTGGGTTGTATTTGGTTTTTAAAACTTTATCCGCACTATTTAGATGAAAACCCCAGTATTGCTGAGTCAGTGTTGCAGTGGCGTACGTAAAAAGGGAGCTATATTAATTAGCATTTTATCTATTTTGTAAGACTATAGGCCTCAAATCAGCCAAGTGTTTCCACATGTAGCCTACCCCACTGGAGCCTACGTGACCCCAGTGTTGTAGAGCCCATAAAAGACTTAGTTAGAGTGGGTCAGGTCTCTTCGTACCGCCACTGTTGTGTAGGATTAATGGTCTTTTCAGTCGTATTAATATTTCTGCTTTATTTATAGATCAGCGAATCCAAAATCTGTGTACACTTACAAACTTACAGGAGATGTAAGTATAAACGATATTATACGCACCGGTACCGTACCTGTTAGTATGCAATATGTATAGGCCTACCTATGTAATTCCTGGCCCCGAAACCTTGACTCGGAAATACTGGGTTGGTGTCCGGCAGGGGATAGTTTTCCACAAAAGTTTTTACTATTTGTATTTTATATTGTATTGTTTTTGCTTGTTCTTGTTTGTTGTTTATTGTATTATTGCAGGACCGTATTGTAAAACAGCGATAAGGTATCGTCTGTTTATGTTCTAATGCCTAAATGTTTTAAATAAAATAAAATAAAATATATGTTGTCAATCGTTAATATATTACACTTTCAATTGGACAAGTATTATAAATCAAACGTTTTCTCATCTTCCACAGCTTGAGCTTGATTGGACAATGGAACCAATAATTAAAAGTTTCTTTGAAGAGCATGCTGGGGAGGTTAGTACAGTAATATATAGTGGGGTTTTGTGTAAACCATCATTTTGTGTACGTTTATGCATGCATTTATACTTACATACATACACACATACCTACACACATACATATATACAAGTCACATATTCAAAATTACTCAATCACCTACACATTCTTTAATTTAACGTATTTTGCAGGACGAGCTGATGGACAACTGTGAGCTAGATGCTTTCTTCAAAACATTGAAAGAAAACGGTACCGTATGTTATTATAATTTCTTTGTACCATAGTTTTAATAACAGCCAGTAAATTAAAAATTTGAACTGAAATTCTTCCAAAAACATTTTAGTATACCGTTTAATTTTTGTGTTTCAGTAGGTTTTTAAAGTTTTTTTTTTGTTTTGTTTTTGTTTTTGTTTTTTTGGTGTTTTTTTTTTTTTGCGATGTGTATTTGCACTTAGGCCATACTCTAATTTCCTTTTGGACAAAATAAGGAAATCGGAATTGGTTGATAAAAGTACTAGCTATGTTGGCTTTTCAATAAAGATGCGTATTGCATATAAAACGGAATATCATGTTGTTTCTTGCAGACCAGCTTCTTTGTGACATTTCCCAAGAGACATCGGCAGCCATTTCCGCTCTTTTTGACGTATCCTTTTTATCAAGCGACATAAACAGCCTGTGGATGGAATAATGAATTCCGAAATATTAAATCACAATAACTTTTATCATTTTTTTTCGGAGTTTGTTTCATAGTACTGTATCTTATGTCAAACTTACCGTTGGATGGTTTCTGCAATGTTTTTTTTTTTGTGTTTACGTAGATTGACCTTTGATATAGGCATGCGCAGCTCAGACTACGAAGTGACTTTGATTGGAGAATTTTTTAAATATATATATTTCCCTTAAAATGTAATACAGGAAGACGATTCAAGGAAACTCTGTATAGATGAAGTTTGCAATATAGGGGCCTTAGTTCATTATAGCAAAGTAAGCAATATTTTAGAATTATCTGTATTAACTCGATAGTTCTTTAAATAGAGACAATATTATTAGACGGGACGCGTGCTAAACGTTTCCGAGATATCAAATTCTATAATAGTTATTATTACAAATAGTCCTCTACATAGTATAAGTCCCATTATCTTTATTTGTTTCAGGTGATGTTCAGAAAAGCGGATAAAGACAGAAGTGAGTGTCTGAATGCCAGTGAGTTGAGGGACGCATTGTATCGGGCAGGTAACCAGTCGTTTTATTTACAAATTCAGTAGAATAAACAAATCAATACACAGACTGATATGGACCGATTTCAATACCACTAGATACTGTCTCTTATACACATCTAGATGTGTATAAGAGACAGGCCTAATACTGTATATTATTGTTGTTATTATACTCTTAATTGTATCATACTGCTGATATTTTACAGTCTTTTTTTACAGTAACCTATTATATACTATAAACATTTTTAATCGAATGAACCTATTTAGAAGTGTAAGTAAAATGATTAACTAGTTTTTTCCATTCCTTTAATCAGTCATTATCATTGTCTCTTTCAGTTACTGACGATGTGCTCCAAACTGTGAGCTGTTTTGAGTAACGATATACGAGAACGCTTAAAATAGTTGTAATGATGATTATCCTCAGAAAATATTACTAACAAATATGTACGGGAAGTAGTATCGTCAACTAGCAGTTATGTACTTACCAGACGTTCTTCTAGGTTGAATCCTATGGTGATAGAGCCTTCAGTGTTGCTGCACCTATCCTCTGGAACCAGTTACCATCTGACTTAAGAGAATCTACAAGTTTAAATATATTCAAGTCAAAGCTCAAGAAATTCCTGTTTTGTTGATTTGCCGACCTCTGACACGAAACCTTCATTTATTAATTATGGGAATAGTTCAACCAATTATTTAAGTTGGTTTATTTTACTGTATGTAAGTGTAGATTAGGATTATAGTGTCCTGGGCACGACGTTATAAACTGCATCCGGTCGAGTCGTCGGCGACTAATTCCGACAACCCCATCTAGTGGTCTTTAGCGGCCGCCAATGGGAGGGTGGATGGACACCCAGCAGCACGAAAAAAATACAGCTGAACAAAGGGCGGATGAACAACCATGCCTTAGTTTAAGGAGTAGGTTTTTTTTTTTTAGTTTCATAAAATAACTTCAACTTTCTTTTTTCTCAAAATGTCCAACTCAAAGAGCTCAATCACCAAGCGCATAGAGGCTTTTCGCATGATGCGCTCTACAAATCCAACTATTATTATTATTATTATTATTATTATTATTATTATTATTATTATTATTATTATTATTAAATGAATAAAAAATTATGATCCTCTTACTTATAAAAATGAAAAGACCTGTATTTTGTTTATTTGCTTCTGGCCAACTGAACTAATTTCTTGCCCAATTGAAATCATAGTAGGAACATAAGTACACCAGCAAAATTTTGCCTACGCTCAGTGTTCCTATTTTCATACACTTTTCAAACATAGAAAATTATTATTGTACAGCATTAATTATTATTTACCGCACTGTTTTATTTTTTATTCTATAGGCGTGTATATTGATAATGTAATGTAAGTGTTTTTAGACCTGAATAAACAAATAAAATTAATTATTTAAATCATCGAGGGTATAGTCACGCCTACTGCATATAAGGTACAGATAAGATTTGTTGGTTTTCTAGTTTTACAAATAAAAACCTCATTTGACATTTTACAACAACCTCGATTTGTTCTTATTTTGTTCATAATTTTTAAGCAATTTTAGCCTCAGTGTTCGTATAAACTGTGTTCTTATTTTTAAAAATGCAATGCCTCAGTAGTGCGTACGCACACATCTTGAAAAGGCAAGTTCCAGAAAGTTATTAGGATTCAAATTAATAGAAAACAGGCACACAAATGTGTGAACGTTTGAGAAATAATTACCTGATATCATTTTATCATAAATCTGAACTATAGAATTAAGTTACACATTACATATGTTTCTTGACGCAATAAGTCTTGCGGTTGTGAAGAGGTGACCGGCAAGGTCAAAGGTGAATTCCCTTTGGCACCGATCAAGAACAACATTTTTCAGTAAAGTTACCTTCTATCAAGTAATACCAAATTGCTAAAATTATGTACATCTTAACTTTATTTTATTCATTGTTTAATTTAAACAATAAATTTATTTTTAAACTGAAACTTATACGTAATCCCAAAACATTAATCAACTAATTAATCTTCGAGACAGTGGCTATTGTTACACCATTGTATTCCTAATTGTTGCTATTTCCAATTTATTTAGCTCCCCTTACTGTCCGTGTTACGTCTATAGGTATTTTACTTCTCTGTTTCAAGAAGTCAAGCTTGCTTTAAGTCAGGATAATTAAAATTAGTATCCCAATCAATTTCCATCAGTTTGCTGCTCATACTCTCACAGTCACCATGGTAAGGGAATTTGTCCAAGCAATGTTTTGCTAAGATGTGGATATATCTCAATCTGTAACCGGATGCTCTTTTTTTTCATAGAGATTATATTAAGCATAATACATCCAGTGTCTGTCCATCTCGATACCTCGTACAATTCTACATAAGTTGATCTAAAAACAAGTAACCCGTGGCGTAACAGGGGTGTGCTGGAGGCGCATGCCGTTCAGAAAAAAACTTCCCCCTGATCACATTGCCCACTGAAGACTGAAGCAAACAAAATTACGTTGAAGTCATCTCATATACCATTATTTTGCCAGCTAGCTCCTCCTCACTTTATCATCTAGTTCTCGCACTTCAACATCGTGCCCCCTCCCCCTCCCCAATTTCAATACCACTAGATACGTTACTGCAAAGTGCTTTGGCCTCCAACATAATTATTCTTCTGACGTCAATTTTTGTGCAACATAATTTCATAACCGTTGAAATAAACAACTTTGCATTATTCCGTCTGGAAAAAAAATATTTAACACAATTTATACACAAAATTCTGATTCATGGCATTACCAATTTTTATAAATGGGCTCCAATAGACAGAGTCTATAAGATGAGTCGCGTTAACAATCCTTTTAATATGGTTTTTCCAAACTCTTTTATTTTCATTTTTGATAAGAAATATATCAACTTACGATACCGTTATTTCTTCCATAGGCCTATATTATTTTGGTACAAGCATTGGTAACCTTCAAGTTAAATTTTAGCAAAACTCTAATTGATTCGGCCTTTTCTTAATATATTTGGTTGGTGCTATCAAAGATGATTTCACCTTGAAACACTTTCCATTTTTTATTAACAGATCATAGTGTACATAATAGAAATAAATTTTGATTTTCTGTTACTTAACTAATTACTACATGATCATAATTTTCAACGTAGGACTATCAGCAAAAGTATAACAACAATAACTGTGACAGCCGCGGTGCACCGCCATCCGACTAAAGTACAACATGTACGGATACATAACGAATACCAACATGTTCCTTATTTCACTTCTCAATGGAAGGGTTAAGGAGCCGAGCGATCAGACACAAAATGAAAACCCGACGATGGCCGGGATTTGAACCGCGGGTTCTCAATTGGGGTCTTCAGCAAGAGAAGCAGAAACATTACCCGATCAAAACACAAAATATATCATTCTTCAATGAAAGTCTTTCGCTCCGATGACGTGCCTTGGAATTAGCGCCACCCGGCTAAATGCAAATCAGCATAATATAAACATTATGGAACAAACGTATATTCATCTGATTGCAAATCAGCCTCAATAAACTCAACAGAAAACAATACTCATTTACATCAAAATACCCCGTGTTTCTATAAAAGCAAACTAAGTTAGGTTGATCTGCTTGGAGTCGCTAGATTTAGCGTATTTCTGTCTAGTCAGTTTCTGTGATTGTGATATCTAAATCGTGTAAGATGGCGGATACAATACCATTAAACCACATGTTTATAGACCAAAGGTACACAAACCTAATGGCAGATACTAAGTATAACAAGGATACACTTTACGAAGATCCACATTTCAAAGCCTGCAGCGATTCGATATTTTTAGGTGCAGATACCTTCCTCGTGGAATTCTACAACAAACGAGATTCAATTAAGTGGCTACGCCCTAGAGTAAGTTTAACTAATTGTATAAATATGCCTTCATGTATATTATAGGCCTACCTACACTAATAGCTGGACGTTCATGTAATTTTTGGCAACAGTGCATGAGTGTAAGGATTACACTAAAGATTAATAGTATTTTTTAATAAAATATATTTTAATAAAAGAAGTAGTTAATAGAATGTGTTCCCCGGATTGCTAAAATGTGCAATCAAATGACATTTCCATCGTCAAAAAAAAAAACCGTACAGTAACTGGAAAATGAAAATAATTATTAATAGAGCCTAATCGTTTTTATTTTCAAGCCTAAAATAACAATTTGAATAAATTTTAATCATGAACTTTCCATATTCCGTAAGCCCGAACCAGTAATCGTACTGCTTTTGAAAAGTTGGTGAAGGATCACTTTCTCTCGCACCTGTTTTGATTAGCTAATTTTTGTCCGTTTCTGTTTCATACTTGCTGCACTTTTGCCTTTATAATTTACCATTTGATTTTGTAATTAAATTTTTGTCAGTTACCGGTTTACTGTGATGGACCCCTCTGGAAATAAGTCCTTATGTACAGTTCAAGAGATTGAATAAATTAAAATAAAAAATGAATATTAATGTCTACATACGCATTGTTAAAAAAACAAAACATTAAAAAAAACTAGCATTAATATAATTATCACTTTATTTTTATCGTAATCAGGAAATTTTAGAAGGCAAGCAGGAACCAAAATTTTTCAAAGACGGTGCTTCATTCAATGAAATCATGCTACCCGAAGGATATGACAACCTTGGTAAGAGAAATGGGCCTATGCTTAGTATGTCTATGCTTAGTAAGCCGGGCACTCACTGCGTGTACAACGGACGTTCGACGTTCGTATGACGATTCAAACTCCTCTCCCAAGCAATCCCGTTATAAACGCATACACATAGGCCCAATACAAACACTTCATTCTTAGTTTTAATTAAAGCTATTGAAGACGAAGACGCTCGTACTATTGTATGAATTTTAATACTTGGTATGAAATTTAATAATTTTGATGGTTTATGTATAGGCCTACTGGCGTTTGTTCTGCCTTTTGGTCTGTTTTACCAACAGAACAAAACAAATTTATGTTCCGAGCTTAACAATACAATGAGATTAAGGGGGAAAGAGCGGAAATGAATTTCTGACTAGTGTTGTTTGCAATGGACAATTTTTTGTTTAATCAACAGTAAATGGAAACTTTATGAACGCATTGGCTGCAATAACACTTGCTCCCAAGGTATTGAATTTCGTTTGTCCGGAGCAATCGTTTACGGAGAACTACAAGGGAATCTTTAGATTCAGATTTTGGAGGTTTGGCAAGTGGAACGAGGTCGTCATTGATGATAGACTGCCAACATTGGATGGGAAACTTCTTTTCAGTCGCTCCATGTCAAAAGATGAATTCTGGGTGTCGCTTATGGAAAAAGCACTGGCAAAGTAAGTTGTGTACTCTGTAGGCCCAAAAACAGTGTTTATAGTAAATGTTAATTCTTATTGGAATATATTGTACTGGAACATATAACTAATATACAGAAATATTTCTAAGCTAGCAGGCTCGGGTATATGCAAGAATTTGGTGTTTCTTGCCAAAAAAAAAATAATATTGGAAGATGCATAGACATTTCGTAAATTGTTTCAGATGAATTGGGACATAAATTTACACTAGATTACGAATATTTCAACTTGTACGGGCTAATATTTTAGGCTTCTGACAAAGTATGAGGCAATGGACAGCACATTTGAAGTACCGGAAGCCTTTCTAGACCTGTCTGGAGGTACTGTAGAAACGGTGTGTTTAAGCGCTACTAAAGAAGACGTGCTTCGTTCCAAGCTAAAGATGTTTCGAAAAACTGGCTCACTTGTGACTGCAACGTTAGCTACGGGACTTGCGGATGACTGTGGTCTTAATAAATTCAATTCCTTATTCATCATTCCAGGAAAGGTTCAAAAGGTGAGTAGGTATTTGTACATGTATTATATATTGTGGTATACCCTACCTCGCCTCCTGTACGTTTCACAGCAAGTACAAAAGTTTTATATTGTACATTAGTTTTCAGTAGGCTTCCTCAATTTCTAATTTTTCAGGTTATGCAAGATAACAATGGTGTGATGATTCCGTCGAACATTGTCCGTGTTATGAACACCGCTCGCTGTGAATGGACTGGACCATGGGGTGACAAGTAAATATAGAATAATTGAAAATATGTTCCGACTTTAATCCTACCGTACGTACCCTATAATGAACTATTAGATTAACCTTTTTTTCATTTTCTGCATTGTAGGTCCAAGGAAATGAAGTCTTTAAGTGCAGAAGTCAAAAAAGAGTTTGGAATAACTAGCCAAATTGAAGGAGACTTTTGGTATGTATTGCAGGAAATAAAAATATTTAAAGCATTTCTGTTGCTTCACGTCGAAGACTCGGAATCTAATTTCTGTATTCCGATTGTCTGCCATTAAGCCTATAACTACATCACATTGATTCCTATAATTTTAGGATGGATATCAAAGATTTCCTGAAAAGATTTGAGGTGCTAAAGGTTCTTCACATTCCACCCGAACTATCGGAAAAAGATAAAACATGGAACGTGACTGAACACTTCAATAAATGGCAAAAAGGAACCACTGCAATGGGATGCTTCACAAAGAATAAAGAAGGCAAGCAAAATATGAATTTACAACAATCGCATCAGCATCATCGTCATAATTTTCATTATTTCAGTTAATTGAAGATTTAATGTATACAATTTCATTTTATATCTTTCAATTATATACTTTTCAATTATATACAATTGTTTTTGCTTTTATAGATTTCTATAAAAATCCACAATATAAAATAAAAATTGATGACGATGGCGATTTGGTGGTGGCATCTCTGATGGCAGTTGGAAAACGCAGAGAAGAAACATCATGGGATGGCAATTACCTCGGCCTCGACGTATACAAGGTTAAAAACAAATGACTGATTTTTAATTTTTAACTTCATTCAAACGTTCATTCATACGCTGAGTAATAACGTAAATTTCAAGATGCAATAGGCCTACGTTATATTAATATATTACTTTCCGAATAGTATGAAGATGGAGCTACGATCGACAGTGAATTTCTGAAAAACAATTTTCCACTACATACATTTGAACATAAACGGGGTCTGCGTGAAGTGACTTTAAGTATGGCTCTTGATCCTGGCAACTACGTCATCATTCCGTCGACATACGAGCCAGGTAATGAACTGCCTTTCCTGCTGCGTTTCTTTTGCGGATATTCTTCGAAGACTGAGTAAGTTGCTTTTTTTAATACGCATTACATTTAGGCCTACATACGCGTGTTTTTACGAATACCAACAGCGTCCACTTGAGAGGTGCAAACATGGGCCATGATTTGTAATTTGACGACGTTTTCGAAAAGTTAGGTTGTACATTAAAAATGGGTTACTGTATACTAATTAGCAGTATTGCTCAGTTTTACTAATTTATTTTTTTTTATCTATATAGATCAGCAAATCCAAAATCTGTGTACACTAGCAAATTGCCAGGAGATGTAAGTGTAGTTATGCGTTATGCGTTTTATCAATTGAATATTTGATATGCAATCCTCATTAAACAAACGCGTTTTCCGTTTCTATTTGCAGCTTGAACTTGATTTTGTTATGGAACCGATAATTCATAGTTTCTTTGAGGAACATGCCGGAAAGGTTAGTAGTTGCCCCTAACAACACATTTTATTATATATGCATCTGTTGCCACATTTGCATGATGCTCTTTTCCTGCATTCAACATGAACATAAACTAAACATTAAAATGGCATTAAGACGCTTTAAACGCACTTAAAAGGTACTGTACTAAAACACAATAACAATATTACGGAATTATCAAAATGCAACCGCTAGAAATAATACAATTCAATATTTTGCAGGACGAATTGATGGACAACACTGAACTAGATGCTTTCTTCAAAACACTGAAAGAAAACGGTAAGATAGGTCTAGTAGTTATGATAACTACATTTTTCCTTTGAAAGGTGTATATAAAACGGCATACTATGTTTCTTTCAGACCTTCTTCCCTGTGACATTTCTCAGGAGACATCGGCAGCTATTTCCGCTCTATTTGATGTATCCTTTCTGTAGTTGAAGTAAACTAAATTATATAGTAAAATTTTTGCTTGCTTAAAAACTCTTGAAACAAATATCTTAAATATCCTTAACATGTACTGCAGGAGGACGATTCCAGGAAGCTCTGCGTAGATGAGGTCTCAAATATAGGAGCATTGGTTAATTACAGCAAAGTAAGCGATACAAACTTTATGTACCCCATGTACGGAAAATAACGGAACAGGTCCATGATCAGGATGCTTTGTAGACCTTATTTGGTACTCATTCATTTCCGTGAAATCTTCTTCCGGTACATCGGACCACCTTTACCCTAAACGCATTTCAAATTGATCGCCCTGGCTGGTTTCGGACGGCATGAATGCTAAAAAGAACTATATTGCATAGTCAATTAATAAATCTGTACTGTATTTTTTCAGTTCATGTTCAGAAAAGCGGATAAAGACGGAAGTGGGTGTCTTGATGCCAGTGAGTTGAGGGACGCATTGTTTCGGGCAGGTAAACACTTATTTAGGCCTAGACGTCAAAACCAATGAATTGATTGAACCGGATTAGAACAAAAACACACACTTGGTTGATGATTAAATCCAATTACTACTTCAAATTTATCGTCTTAGGTCTATTCGCCAGTGACGCTGTCCTATATCACCTGGTCGACCGTTACGTGGGTAGCGATAATAAAGTTACATTCGACGAGTATCTCCTCATGGTTTCAAAACTACGCTACGTTATCAGTGAGTGATCAAAATATTTTTTTTGTAATGCCAGTGTCTTAATTGTTCTTATAGAACAAAATGTAGAACGAGGATGCTTTTCCTCCCCGATTTTTTTATCATTTCACAAATACCGTACTTGTTTAACCTACCACATTCTAAGGGATTTTGTACGATACAATAAGCTTTTGAAAATCAAATTTTGCTCAAGATGAAGGATGGAGCCCATGGATTGGTTTAAATAGTCTTATTTGAACGACAGAACCCAGTCTGTTCATGACAAATTAAGATTTCAGCGCGTTTCTATTCATTATAATAGCCCAAATCATTTACAGGGAATGTTAAAATTGAACTTCATACTAGGGGCAAGAAACATTGCTGTACCCATTAATATCATCTTACTTGAAATCCCTGCATTGTGTTTTATACTGTATTTTCATTTAATGTTTTGTGTATTTTCATTTACTGTTTTGAAATTAGAAGACAATAACACATTACAAATAAGTCTCTAAATAAGCTTGGCTTGTTTACATATTTTATGCATTAAAATCATAATTTTCATAATTATAATTTACAGGGCAATTTCAAACACTGGGTGGATCTAATGAGAAATCGGTTGCTATGTCAGCTGAAGATGTAAGTAACATGTATTGCAATAATGGACCGTTCCACTAAGCCCCGCCCCTTGGATATTGTTGCTAAACAGTGAAAAAACATAGCGTAAACTCGTATTTGTTGGACTCGCCCGTATTTCTGGCACTGTTCTGATTGGTCAATATTGAAGTTTGATTGACACTCCGGAAAGTCCATTGCAAAATTGATTGCAGATCCACCAAACCAAATAGAAAGCATAGAAAGCATATGCCTCTCGTATGCTAAAATTCCTGCAACTAAAAGTAGCCTATAACACATTTTCTTTTCATTTCAGCTCCTTAAAATATGCACGAAACTATAAGCTTTGGAAACCAATACGGCATGGACTGACCAGTTACTTTAACGACGATTGGATAGATGATAAACTGAGCATAAGAATAAAAAGAATTAAAAAAAATATAAAATATAAAATAAGAGCCAGTGTATTGTATGTATTGGAAATTGTATTGCAACATTCAATGAAAAACCTGTGCTATAAACATAGGCCTATACCATCAATACAATAATAAAAAAAAAAACGGCTCAAACCTTGGTGTTGTGCATTTAATTTGTGTAAAATATGTTTGGTCGTAGCTCCAATTTTTTTTGTATATGTGGTACAAGAAATATTTCAAAGCCATCCCTAGGAAGAGAAGAAATCCATCGGCGTTGGTCCTCAGTGTTGGTCTCCAGCAAGTACCGACGAGGCGTCCGACTACACGCATTTTGCAGAAACAAATGCGTGATCCTAAATTTGTCGGGCATTTAACACAAGTCTATGCGTGATAACGAATTATCACGAATTCGGGGGAAAATGTATTTAAAATTAGAAGAAATTGGTTATATTAAAAATATAAAATGTTGGTGTAATAGTATGCATAGTTCAGGTGCTCAAAATTAAACATAGGCCTACATTGAAACTCAATTGTACGTGGCTTCGCGTATTTCAAATAACTATGGTTGGTAACTATGTAAGTGCTAGTAGGGTACAGGGCGAAATTCTCGACCTCTCAAATATTACTTTTACTGTATATTACAATTCATTTTATCTTATTCTATTTTCCCATGTAATAACATCTGACTCATTGCCCTTAAAACGTTTTTGAAAGCTTGAAAAATAATAGGGTTGTCCACAAGGAATGTTAATGCAAGCAACATCAACTGCATTAATTAAACGCTTAATTAATTATATATAGATATGAAACTATAAATTGAAAAACAAAATCCAGCTGAAGCTATATAATACTCGGAAACGTTCAGATAAAAAGAACAAAAACTTGATACGTTTCATTATCCTCATAAAATCAGCAGTGGCGTAAATCAGCAGTGGCGTATATCTTAAAATGGGGAGGCTGATTGGGGCGCGCGAATTAGGTGATGATGGGGCGCTAGCTCGCAAATTAATTTTTGTAACCACTATTGAGCGTGATTTTTTTTGGAGGATGGGGGCGCCACAGAAACATAAATCTATATTGATGTTGCAAAGGGAGGCACATACACGTACATATTGAAATTCCGATGAGGTCTTTCCATCTAAATGTTAAGATCAATCATTATGAAAAAGAGGACGACCATGAATAGCAACGGACCGCGCTCTTCCTTTTCATAAGCTAGGTTCATCTGCATCAAGACTCAAACAGTCTGAAGGATATTAGCATCAGTTGATCTTTCAATTTAAGACCAATTAAAGGACCAATGTGGGGTGCCATCTTGGTTTGTTTTCTTGGTTTGTTTTCCTTTTCGGAAACCGTCTAAATGGTGATAACAGCCAGGACTGGTCTAACACATCATAATTAGAGGGCCGGGTAATTGAAATCGGAAACGGTAACAGCCAGAATGCGCGAGCCTTGGGGCTGCTTTCTTAAAAATAAGACTGCGTAGAAACATTGTGTGCTTATTACAGTGATGGTGGCGCCAGTACCTGACCGACGGAGGGGCTAAAGGCCTCGACGGTAAGGGGAGGGGGACCCTAGTGGAGCGAATCCCTAGTGGAGCGAATCAAGTCTCACGTGGCTGGGGGCCAGGGGGTGGCCTAGGGCCCCGGTGGGGGTTCATGGGCCACGGATAAGCATATTTGACGAATTATGGCGATTTTTTATTACTTATTTGATAGGCATCGAGTTACTATAATATGATTTCATGTAGGCTATGTTTTCTAATGTCGAAATCAGCTTCCAAAACCAAAACATTTTGAATAAAACAAGAAACAAAGAGTATGCAATGTAACCATATAATTTATTTTCAAATCCTCATTCTTGAAAGGGAAATTCTACATTTTGGAAATTTTGCATGAAATCTGTCAACCACGCTGTCATACGGTAGTTAAGGTTGCTTCACCTATCACGATGTGTACAAGCATCATGAGGCTATCCAAACAGGCATTTTGTCATAACAGAACGCAAATTATTTTTAATTAGTCTCATTTGAACTATTATTATTATTAGACCTATTATTATTATTATTATTATTATTGTTATTGTTATTGTTATTGTTATTGTTATTATTATTGTTATTATTATTAATGTTATTATTATTAATGTTGTTGTTGTGATGTTGTTGTTTTTGTTTTTGTGATGATAAGTTAACACAAACTGAACGAACATTACATGTAAATATTTTTTTTATTTGTATATTCCTCGACAAAGTTTACTCGTCTTCCCCGACGAAGGAGGGGGCTATGCTGCCCCGACGGGGATGGTGGCTATAGCCCCCCCCCCCCCACCCTTTCTGGCGCCACCACTGGCTCATTATTATTAAACATCATGAACTTATCTGTTAGTTAACGGTGCAGTTGTTCTTTTAAATTATATTTCCAAAAGATGCTACTGTATTATGGTTTATTGTTTGGGACTTTAAAAAAGATGGTCTCGGTCTCGAACTAGAGAGGTCTCAATATCAGAGGGAGAGGTGTGTTAAGATATCAGTTGACGCTGTTAAAAATTTTTAAAAGTCTCGAATTAGAGGAGTCTCGGAATCAGAAGGGTCTCAGAATAAGAATTTGAGGATGAATCGTAGATATAGTGCGAAAAAAACATGAAACAACAAACAAAAGATGGAAGATATCCCAAAATCACACTAAAATGGCAGAATCCATGGAAACAGACTTGGAGGAGGTCCACCAAAAAGATGGACCGACAAATTACATCCATATTATGAGGACACTCTATTGGTATCAACAACATTGGAACAATATGGTACATAGGAAAACCCTAGATAGACCAGGTGGAATGCATCATGAAAGGGCTGTCATTTCCAGGACCATCCTAGGAGGACGGCATTAATGAAAATGAAAAACAAAATTGAAACAAATACTCGGAGAGTAAAATAAGTAAGTAAAAAATAAATACTCCCTGGGCGCTTCGTACACGTACTCATGAATAATAATAAACGCATGAATTAGTACGAAGAAGGCGTGACCTTGCTCGATAACACAAGTTTGATCGCCCCTGTCTCCATAATCTCTTCTCTCTGGTCCGACCATTTTCATTGAAATACGCTAATAAGGGTTTGTATGGTCATGGTGTGCGATAGAATTGCAAAATGAGTCGTTTTTTAACAGGTGACCTTTCAATTTCACATATAAATGACTGGTTTACGATTGGAGGCCCTCCTCCGTCTCGTCCAAAGGCAGTTCCTTGTACTAAGCTCGGTCGCCGAGCTCTGGACCCGACGACAGGCGAAGCTGCAGTTGATAATTGCAAGCCGTTTGTTCCAAATTATAGAAGGTAATTTTGGGAACATTTTACACAAATGATCTGATTATAGTGGTTCATTAGATACATTGATTAATTAGTATCATTAAAAGACTAACTAAATAAAGGAGACCTGCGCATATCCTAGGCCTAGGGCTTATTGTCACTAAACAAAACAATTCTAGCTAGGCCCCTATTTATTATAGGCCTAGGCCTGTACAAACAAAAGCACATGGCCCTTCCTTAGCTACATGTTTTGTTGGTTTGTTTCTTTCTTGCTAACACAAATTTAATGCATGCAAAATCACAAAACAATAAAATATGTGGGAAAACTTACAAAAATTACAAAATCTTACCCGCCTACCTAGGTAGGCTAGGCTAGAGATGAGGCCCAAGTTTAAGCTAGGCCTAGACTTAGACTAATTCCTAGGTAGCCTAGGCTTACATACAAAGTATAGATATCTATCAAAAGACCAATTTATAAATTTAAAATTAGAAGTCAAAACGATTTGATATGGTTGTACAACTTTTTTTTCTAAGACACAAAAAGGGAGTTTGTTGAAAAATCTCTGGAATGGTTAATGAGACACAGATTTTTAAATATTTAGGGTAGGGTGGACATACTCCCTTTTTACCCATTCATAATGAAAAGACTAAAGGGGTAGAAAAAGAAAGCAATAGGCCTAGATCAAGGACGACAACAAAACAATACAGAAGACAAAACCAAAAAAAAAAAAAAAAAAGGGAACAAAGGATAACACTCTCCAACCTGAAAATAAAATGGGTAAAGAGGGGTGGAAGTGGATTAAGGGAAGAATAAAAGTAAGAAAATTGGCAAACATAAAGAGGCTTTCTGAAAAGAGGGGGAAAGCATCAAAGAAAAAGAAAAAAAGGGGAAGAAAAAAAGAGGGGGAAAAGCATCAAAATAAACCATGAATAGATATGAATAGTCAGTATTAATATCATAAATATATTTATTCATTTTAATATTTAGTTCATTTACTTATGATTTATTAATGATTTAACCATGATTACAAAAAACAAACTTTGATAAAAGCTAGTACTGTTCAGTCCTATACTTTACATTGTGTCACACTATCCCACCAGAAGAAGCCACTTCTGGTTAACTGTGCGTGGTGGTGCCTATCGCCAGTTTTTTTCGGGAGACAGTTGATAATACAATAGTAAAAACATGAATTTGTCAGAGATATGTAAGTTTGCTTAGTTTTTTCTTGCGAGAATATATGAGGCTGCCCTGATTCTGGGTGACTTCGGGCTCCTGCAACACCAATTTATTAAGTGATATAATTGAGGATAAGGTTTTATTCAAGAACATCATCATTATTATTATTATTTTATTTCACTTTATTTCATATTCAAATCCACATTAAAAACAAGTTACAGATTGTGGCCAAAGGCCAAATTGGTAGCAACTTTTACAAGGAACAAAAGGTTACATGCAAAATCCACAAAAAAAAAAAAAGTTCAAAAAACAAAATAAAGACGTACAAGGGGAACAACTTGATTGTTCAGAGAGAGGGGAGTAGCCAGTGCCTCAATCACCAGGAAGACTAATGGGGTAGGGGGGATTAAGAGATATTGAGTAATTGAATGTAATATGGTATGGGACTATTAAAAAATCTTTTGGTTTTGCATTTAAGCTGTGAATAATTACTTTCATTGCGATCTCCCATGAGATTGTTGTCGGGTAGAGGGGATCAGATCAGCAGAATCATTTAGTTAAAGGAAGGCCTTTAGCAAATTTGAGGCAGTGGGCTCCTCTCCTCTCATAGAGGGGATCCAATTTATAAAGAGTTCTAGCATGTTCATAGGTCTGATAGTTGTTTCTAAATTAATACGGCAAGCACACTTTTGAGTAGCCTCAAGGTTTGCACTAAGTGTTTTAGTGATTCCAGGGTGTCATATCACATCAGCATATTTGAGGACAGGTCTTATGTATCCAGTATAAATAGCACAAAGTTCAACTGTGCTCAGCCCAAATTTTTTAAGGTTATTAAGAATGAACATTTTCCTGTTAGCCTTAGCATTAATGTTATCAATATGGCTACCCCATTTTAAATCATTCTGTACAGTGATGCCTAAAATTGAGTGGCCATGCATATTTTCTACAAAATATATAGACAGGGAGTTAAAATGAAACACATAGAACTCATAGTTTTTGTATTGGAATTCCAGGCCCACTGTTGGTGGTGGGCAGCAGAATGACTATGCTGAATTTTACAAGAATCAGTGGGTGGAAGAACAGCTTGGCTTAGAAGAGGATGATGAGCTTCAAGATGGCACTTACAAGTATGGAGCTATGTCAGGTATATTAATGTGTTGTAATTTTATTTCATCCTTATATATCAACTGAGATTAATTTACTGTCATGGAGTATAGAATTTAATGATCATCTGAATACTGGTGAGGACAAAATTGTTCCTGAAAATGTCCATGAAGAGACAAAATATTGAGGTCGAACTTAATTAGCTATTTATAATTTGATTCTATCCAATTATATACTACATCGAGAACCATATGTCCACACACAATATCGTAGTGCTTAGAACTTTCAGGAACACTACACATTACAGATTACAGATAATCTGTTGACATCTTATGAATAGCCTTTGAAATTTAGCCTTTGAAATTTAGCATTAAAAAAAAATCAAACAATTTATAGGTAAAAAGTATGGCCTAAACCAGAGTGCTGAGTTTACTGGTCAGAGTGGTCATCTCTTTTGGTGCTTTGGTCAATCTCTTTTGTGTACAGATGGTACTTTATCTGCTGTGGGTTTTGACACTCTTTGTCACTCACACATAATACTTTAGTCTGTCTTACCTTCCCACAACGTTGAATGCACTGAAGCTAGCGCTCTAGTATTCTTATAGTAACTATTATATCCTTAGGTCATTTTTTTTTTTACATCATCAGAGGCAATCATCATTACTGTTTTAAATGTTTCTGTTCTTTCCACAATCTTTTAGAATTGGAGAGTGTTACAGAGGGCGTGAGTGCAGTGTCGTTACCTGGCAACGCCTTGATGGAATCTGAGGCCACTCAAGTGTACAAAAACTATAAATTTGAACATGAATACAATCCAAACTTACCTATCACTCAGTATCAGGAAGCGGTATGTCAAATACTCTGTCTCATAGTTTCACACATGCAATGACTTGAGTTATGTCAAAGGTCACGTCTTTAACATATGCAACTGGCGATATGTACTGTATGGGCCGAAGTATTCGGCTATAATACCATAAATGATAAACAACTGTTCAGGCGACACTTTTTACCTTGACTAGCAAAATTAGAGTTTGAGGTGGAAAGTAATAGAGGGTGCTCTACACTAGATCATACCTGGTAACTGCAGAGAATGTGATGTTGCAATGTAAACATTTCAGTAATTGGATTGATACATTTTTTATTTAATATAATACTGCTACAGTGCTATTAACCCCTCAGTGGTCTGTAGGAAACTGGATAAAGACTTAAGATTCATCATTATATGGTAATAATAATAATAATAATGATAATAATAATAATAATATTGCAATATCTTAAAAATATACTGTTTGTCTTGGTTTTTACTCTTTTTGCTGTTGTTTCTGTGCTTTGGTGACTGTTGTAATGTTTTAATCGGTGTTTGGTATCTCTTTATATTCTAATTATTATATTTTACTGCATTTGATCATTGTTTTAATATTTTTAATGTCAATTGTATATTAGTGCGAGTACTGAATTTGGAGCAATAAAGTTTATCTTATACTAACACACTATGAATTATATTCGTTATGTATATTAGGTGATTAGTACAATAGAAAGCAACCAGGTAACTGTAATTGAAGGCCCCACTGGTTGTGGTAAGACGACACAGGTTCCGCAGTATATCTTGGAACATTACGTCAAGGAGAACAGGCATTGCAATATTATTGTGACCCAGCCGAGACGTATTGCAGCCATGAGCATTGCAAGGAGAGTCTGTGAGGAGAGAAAGTGGCAGCTAGGAACGATAGTTGGATATCAGGTAGGATAATGTCTGCATTTGGCCAATTTGGGATCATAGGAAGGTAAACAGGAAAGGTTGTGAAGAAGTGGTGAACCTACCATGGCATTGTACAGTCTGGCCTAAATACCAGGGACAAAATGTGCACAGTCTTTGTCAGTAAACCCAGATCTTTGATTTTAACATGACTACACTTTTTATTTTGTTCAACAGGTGGGAATGGACAAGCAGGTATCTGAGGACACAAGATTGTCATTTGTGACTACTGGTGTTCTTCTTCAAAAGCTCATCAAAACCAAGAATATGAATGAGTATACACATGTGATTCTTGATGAGGTATGAACAACATTAACATTAACATTACGTTGTCTGATAGACTGCCAAATCTTTTTGCAATAACCTCATTGCTGTGCGAGCAACATTATTTGCTGATTGTTGGCAGCAGTCCGATTGAATCGTCTTTGAAACCAATCTCTAAATCGTGCCTCTTAGCTTTGCTTTCTCCATGGATTTCTGTTAGATGACACAGTGTTCCTCCAGCTTCACAGTTTTATCAGTAGTAATGTAGCCAAATAAAATTTATCTAAATTAATCAGCATGACTTTTTATTGATTTCATTTGGTCCAACTGATTGGGTTAACATTTAAAAAATAGTCAAACCTCAAACAAACTCAGATATAGAGTATAAATTCTCACCAATCACCCGCCTTAAAGTAGTATCTATTTAATAGTAACTCATTGGCATTTTCTTCTGGTTTAGCTGTCATTGCTATTTGTTAATTTTTTTTTTTCAGGTGCATGAGCGTGACCTTGATTCTGATTTTGCATTATTGGTTGTCCGGAAACTGTTAAGAACGAACTCAAGGTGTGTCAAGGTAAGGGTCATAGTTCATGGGTGGAAGCAGTTGGTGCAGCAGTTGATCTCCACAAGCCACAAATTAATCATAGTGTATTTATAATTATCTTGCTTGAATGTTTCATTGTTAATCTGGACATCTTTGTAGACCAGTACTTATGTATTGAAAGAGTATATCCAGAATAAAGAACAATTCGAATTTGAATATAAACTTGAATCTATTGTATTAATCATTCTTGGTGTAAGTCATTACTTTTATGAATAATTCATATCAGTAGCTCTTTCTGCTAAGCCCCGCCCCATTGGTATTGTTGCCACGATCCCACAAAATTATATGTACACTTGTCCGTTTGTGAGACCAGCCTTGCTCTGATTGGTCAGTTGTAAAGTTTGATTGACATTCCTGGAAGTTGGTTTATATTCATAGTCCTTGTTGCTTTGTAGAAGTGTTTAATATTTTCATATGATTAAAGGGAACTAAATGGTGATTAAAAACTGTATTGCCAATGAGGCAGTAAGCGGACATTGTACTAAAGTGAAAGCTGCATATACCAAAATCACAAATCATTTTTCTCATTTTCGTTATCCACACTTTCCCTGTTATGACAACCAAATAGTATCATTACTATAAAACTCAAATTGATTAATTAAAACTGCCCTGTTCTTTTCTCTTTCACAGGTGGTTCTAATGTCCGCGTCCATTGATACCAATTTGTTTACTCATTATTTCTCGCACCCTGTTCTCGGACGTATGGAGCCGGCACCTGTTGTATCTATAGAAGGCAAGGCATTTGATGTGGAAGAGTACTATTTAGGTGATCTGCGTGGATTGGGAGGGGTAAGTCTGCTTTTAAAATACATAGTAATGGTAATCGTATTACTATGGTAATTGTTGCGCAGTAACTTAATATATAAAGGGTATATATTTGCTGCAGTTTTATCATAGTAGCTATATGGTGGTGAAATTGTTTTCATAGTAATAGATTGAGTTGAAATACTATAAGATATCATTATATACAATAATAGTAAAAAAAATTGAAATTGTTTTCATAGTAATAGATTGAGTTGAAATACTATAAGATATCATTATATACAATAATAGTAAAAAAAATTTACTTGCAGTCATAAGATGTCCCAAGACTACTTCACATTCACTTGAAGAAATGCACTGTGTGCATGAAAGCTAATAGTTTGTCAAATGAACTAGTCTTAAAGTACTATACGTCCAATGTTTTAGTAACTGATATCCCAAGGTGATGACCAGTACACCATAAGTAAACCATAGATTGAAGAACCCATGAGCTAAAAGGGCTCAAGAACCAACCCTCCTATAATGAGATGTCTGTACTAAAGTTTACAATACTACCGCATTCTTAAGCTGATTGCTCAGTTTATTTTTGTTGTGGATTTCATTTCCAAAATAAACAATGATTGTCTGATTTAATAATTTACTACGGTACTTAACTTGGTAACTGAGATTTGGCCTGTAGTTCATAATTAATTAATTGATAAGAAAAATTGTTCCCAACTATACGAATGTGTTGAGAGATATTTTTGACTCTCAAGCAACTAGTAAATTTATATTTTTTCACAGGTACCGGCTCAAGATCCAGAAAATCCAACTGTAGAAAATGAATTGTATGTATTGGCAAAGAAACTTATACTTCACCTTGATGATATAGAGAGAAAAGAGCAAGGGTGAGTTGGCAATTACCACTACTAACTGTAGTCTTCGAGAGAGTTACTTTAACCTGATATATTAGTCAGCAAATTGAGAAACAACCACCAAGACATTTCTGCTTAATATTATTAATTAGAGTATGTTACCTTCATTAGAGTCAGATTACAGGGATTTTGAAAATTAATAAACTGTTGGATTTAAGTTTTGAGAGTGCCATTTCCAGTCATTTAAGAGTGACAGAAGCATAATAATTTGTACCTCATCGGCAACAGTGGTGGAGAGCTTTCGATTTTTTTTTTAGAGAGCTTTCGATTTTTTCGATAACTCGACACTATAACAGAATCACTCATGCATGACCGTAGATTTGGCCAAATTGCGTTCCTCGAATCCATGTGACGGGGAAAACTTTAGGTTCTTGCATGCGCAGAAAACTTTTAGTGACGTCATTACGTTCTACATCCTACCATCGTCGTGCACTCAAATGCTCCCTTGTATTCTTTCCCCGTGCCACCTCTGTTTCAAATTCCTGGTACTGCCATTGTTTATAATGCTATAAAGTCCAATGTTTGTTGTTGTTATTACTGCTGTATATATATATTATGTATTAATCTAAAATTCATTGTAACACTATAGTTTGTCATGTTAAGTTATGTTATAACTATTTGAATTAGTACAATATGACAATTATTTTCTTTTAGGGTTAGTGAGGATAAATATGCGCAGAATAGGGGATCTGTTCTCATTTTTCTTCCAGGTATTATTCATTTTAATATTTATTTTAATTTTAATTAAATGTAGTAAAAGTAAGAGAATAACCCAAATTCATACAACATTGGGATAAATTGCATGTGGCCCATGCCTACTAACCCCTCCTCAATGGTGTATCTAGGAGTTTTAAAATGGTAGAGGAATAGTGCTGATGTGGAGGTGCAAAGGTGAAGTGGGGTGGGGAGGGGGATCGATGATTATGTGAGGAGTGCAACCTCACAAAATACGACATAATGGGGTGATTTTTAACAACTTGAGTGTGGTTTGTCTTTTGCTTCCTGCAAAAAAAAAAACTAAAAATATTATTAGTATGCCTTTATACGATTTAAATATATATAATATTCTGCATTTAATTATATAGGTGAATTTGAATGGTGGTTATATTTTTATGTTCAATACATAATTTGTATCATTCAATTTTATTATGTATCAAAAGATAAAATTTTGTATTAGTTTTGTGTCCCTATTCCATTCATACTTTTTTTAAGGAAATTTGTTTTACTCTTCACTAAATAAGAAAAATATGTTTGCAGGTCTGGAGCAAATTCACCGCATGGAAGAACAACTTAATGCCCTCATTACTGAAAGAAAGTAATTACTGTTTATTTCATTCTCATCCAAAAATAAAGAGTAATAATAACAACAATGATATATTAGTTACTTTTGTAGTGTGTTAGTGCAGTAGTAAACTTGGAAGTGATCAACATGAAATAGGGTGTGTGCCAAATACTCACATTCAGGTAGTGGCACATACTTGGGGCATTTACAACTTTAGGCAATTGACAGGGTTGTTTTATGAAAAATTCTTCATAATTCTTTTTAATGAACAGAATTCTGGTGATACCTTTACATTCAACGATCACAACTCAGGAGCAAATAAGAGTGTTCACAAAACCAGTTGCAGGTGTTAGAAAGGTAAAATATAATAATAGTAGTAGTCATGCACAAGTCTTCCTAATTCCGATTGGATGTTATTGTATGTATGGATTGAATTTGGATAATAACATCCAATCAGCATTAGGAATTAGTTTAATGCTGATTTTTTTTTTGTCTTTGTTTTTTTTTGGTCTCTAATTAAAATTTAAAAGGAAAAAAAATGACATTTGTGGCACAGTCAAGTCAAACCAGTCACTCGTCACAAATCTGGTTTCAGAGATAATGGCAAAAACATGCTAGAATGTCAACATTTTAAAAATCTATTCTATTACACTAAACTGACCTTTATATATCTATATATCATGCTACGCTGTTATTTCCAAAGTGGTCTTTAATAATAGAGGAGACGTTTCCACTACTACTACTACTAAATGTACGTAATATAAAGGACTACTGATATTTGATTGTAATTTTCAGGTGATTGTGTCCACTAACATAGCTGAAAGCTCCATTACAGTGCCTGACATCAAGTATGGTAAGTAAACATTCTCTTTATTTTCTGTATGTTCACTGTTGTGTACAGTTTATTAGAAATTTATTTTTATGAAGAGGTGTGTTTATGTTTTCCTTAATATTAAATGTAAATATATTGTTTAGACTTTACTATGTTACATAATAAAATGTCAAAACTAATTAAACTATTGTAGGTAAAGGTCAAAACCTGAAGCTCTGGGCTGACAGTTCTGCAAGCCCATCACTCTTTCTTATGCCATTTTGGCCAAATTGTGCAAGGCTGTGGGAGGTTCGCACTCCTCCCACAAAGAAAGACTGTTACCTTCCCAGCATATGCCGGTACCCATTTATACTCCTGGTTTAGAGAAAGATAAACATAGAAAACGTGTCTTGTTTTAAGGGCACAAGCAACTTGCACTGCGAGGGTTTTAAACCCCCAACCTCAAGGTTGAGAGTACGAGCTACAACCGGTGCTTCTAATATTGTCAGTTTTGTATTATGATTATGGAAACTGATTTATTTCTATATGAATTTCAGTTATTGACTTCATGCTGACAAAATGTCTTGTGTGCGACTTTGAGACCAACTACCAAAGTCTGAAACTAAACTGGGCATCAAGAGCTAATGCCATTCAAAGAAAAGGTAAACTGCTACTATACAGTACCTATTGATAATTCAGTTCAGAAAACTTTACTTTATATATTCAAAATAGTGATCATAAGTAGTATCCATCATTATTCTATGGTATATGAGTAGTGTTTGCTTTATAAAATAATATATCATTAGGAAAATTTGTCACTAATAAAGCATTATTTTATTATTAAAACAATGATACCGTTAAGAATTTAATACATTTTATTGAATTAACGTTAATTTTTTGTAATTTTTAAAAATGTGAGGCTGGCCATCCCAAAACCAGCATACTGTCACTAATGTTGTTAAAACGAGTAATTAGCATGAGAATGTGGTAGTATTGTAAACTTTAGTACAGAAAAGTCGTAATACTTTTACTCATAACTTTGGCAATAGTATTTGTCGATTCATTTTTAAAGCTTATAATGTGGAGGATATTAAAAAGTTAATTTTCTTGTTTACGTCGCTGATGCTGTTTTTGGCATGGCAAGCCCCCATATAAGCCACATTTTAAAAATTGACCTAAACGTGACATTCCCTAACATATTTTTCAGGTCGAGCGGGTCGAGTGGCATCGGGTCGTGTTTACAGATTAATTACAAAGCGTTTCTGGGATATGTATATACAGGATTATGGGATACCTGAGATGAGGGTAAGACTATATGAAAAATACACAAAATTTATTATGATGTAATAAAAACTTTGAAAATGTCTAGCCTGACAGTGGGCTGTCTTTAAATAATTGATACTGCTAGCATGTTTTGTAAGGTTGATATTGAATGATATTTCAATTTGTGTAAGGCTTTTTGTATTGATGAAGTATTTAACCAAAATCTGCAAGATTTTTCTGACAATCTGACAATGTTTTCAACAGCGATGTCCTCTGGAGTATCTAGTCCTGCAGGTGAAGCTCTTAGACTTGGGTGAACCCAAAGCTATTCTAGGCCTAGCACTAGAACCACCAAATCTAGCAGAAATAGAAAGAACAGTTTTATTGCTTAAAGAAGTAAGTATCTAAATTCATTCTCTTTTTAATTTATTGAGTTTAATCTATTAAATACTTAGAGTTATTCAATGGCCAAATATGGCGAGTCATGTGCTAGTATCATTTGTGCACCCGAGAATTCTAAGCTTGCTAACTACAACAATTCATGTGACATGAAAGCTGGACTTTCTCTTGACTAGAAGCCACTCCAATCTCTAAGACTCATTAAAAGACCTAGTATATAAAAAACATAAATTTCTGTACAGTCATTGGCAAGTTATTTGCTGTTGGCTGCGAAAAAAAAAAAAAAAAAATTTAAGCCGGGCACTCGCAGTTGTTGGCCGATGCTGTGAGTGCCAGGCATTAGAAACACTGTGATTTAAATTTTTCGCTTCAGGTCGGTGCTTTGTCAACTCTTCGCAGTGGGGTTCCGAACCCGCATGATGGTGACTTGACCTTCCCAGGAAAGGTTCTTGCTTCCTTACCGGTTGACATACGATTGGGAAAACTGATCATCCTTGGTCATGTTTTTGGATGTCTGAGGGATTGCATTATTATAGGTAATCAGTTTTTCGTTAGCACTAGGATAGAAAACTTTTTCATTGTCTTACTGTATGTATGCATTCCGTGTTAACATTTAAGAACTCAAAATGGGTTTTTATGTTGAGATGTCATAGCAATAATTTTGGTGAGAGGTGCCAACTAACTGCTGTAGCGTGAGCAGAGTGTGGGAGGGGATGACCATCTAGGGCTATTTGTAGGGCCAGGTTCAAACGGTAAAGCCTACTGGAAGCTCTCAGACTCGGGATATTTAAAGACAAAAAATTATTTTATTTGACTGATGTAAGAACCACAATTTTTCATGAGTGTAGTGTTTAGTGTATAGTTTACTGTACTCTTTATATGTTGTTTACATTTCTGTATTGATGCTTCTTAGAGACACCTCAAATATTTTATGTCTTGTTAAATACAAGCTTTAACAAAATTGATGATCTGGGAGTATGCTTAAATACTGTTATACTGATGTATTATGTTATTAAATTGAAATTTGGACCTCTTTCTAGTGAATATGATAAAAAACAATGTTGTGTTTCTATGGTCGTGTAGCATAATTAATTTTGCATAAACCTAATTGTGTTTGAAATATAAAATGCAGTTGAATCTATTTTTCATGTACTGTAGGTGCTGCTTTGTCACTGAAAAGCATCTTTGCCAGACCCTTCGGTAAAGACCTTGATGCATTTAGGTAAGTTAATTTTGTATTTAGTATATTACTAATACAGTACTGTAATTCAACAACTTAAACCATAAAATTCTCCATATATGTGGTAGCAATTGAGTGTTTAAAGGTTAATTGGCACCCTGGACCTCCAGTGCTGCCATGACACTTTTAGTGATTTTGGATGTAACCACTGTACACACAGTAATAAGTAAATATTAAATTGTGTAAGTTGGGCCTGTCACAAAGGGTAAGCTAAACTAAAAGTTGTTTTCCACTTGGTGAATTTATTTACACATTCACATTTCTATCAAGAGTTTTTCACTTTAGCGAAATCAGTAGTTCGAACGGTTTCTACTTTTTGCAAAGCAAAAAAATGCAATCAGAGCTCAGGGAGCAAACCGACGCTTGCAATTCGCGCGAATACATTCGCCTAGTGTAAAACACCTTTTATAGTAGCTTGCCTAAAAGACTTCTAGCAAAGATGAATGTACTATTCATTTGTGTCTTTAGAAAGACATTGCAGAGACCCATTTGCTTTGTTATATTACTGGGATAAAAATCGAATAATTTTTTTCATTCTATTTACCAAAGACGATATTTTTTTTTAGACACAAGAAAGGCTGGGCTGAGGGTTCATCCTCCGATTGTATTGCTGCTTTAAATTGTTTCAAGAAATGGGAGGAGATGCGTGCAAGCGGGGCATTTAAAATATCAAGGGGGGTAAGTTTTCTACTTTAATACTTGTTGTCTGGTTTTCTTTAGGTAATTACGAGAGAATACGGGGAAGCTAATCTTGAATGAAATGTAGCAGTGGGTGGGTGCTAAATTTTTCTTAACAAGGGATGTTTTTAGCATATTTTATTGTGCAAGTTCAAAGTCAAGTAGACGTTTTCGACCTTGTAACTGGTTTTTATTTCATAAGAAATAGAAAATTGATTAATAATGATGATGCTTATAATATAAATATATTTATTTTATATGTATAATTCTATCTGCAATTTCATGTCATTTTTTTCTATAGTAGTTAAGATAAATAAATGAATAATTAATAATTTAATAACTTCTCTTTTTGTATAATATCTATGTTTTTTATACCTATTTTTAATATTGTATTTTTTAGTTTAATTAAATAAATAATAATTCAATAATTGTCTTGTATTAATTTTAAAATGTATAGTATAATGTTCAATGTGTGTTTATCTCTTTTACTGTATATATATATTTTTTTTTGTAAAACAATGTATGCGCAATTTTCCACATCTCTTGGGGGTGTAGATAGAGGTGCTTGACACCTGTTCAAGGGGAGGTGTAGATAGAGGTGCTTGACACCTGTTCATCCCTTCCTTCTCTCTGGTTTTATATGTCTTGTTTTCCTTTACTTTTGTTCTTTGTGCATTGATGAAGCTTAATAAATAAATATATTAATAAATAAAAAGTTATGGATTTGTTTTGATTTATTAATTTTGTTTTATTCTTTATTTTTTACGACTTGGAATTGGCAAGTCAAATTTTGGGGTTGTTCGTCAGACATGTTGGTGCACATTATATCCGAGTTTCTAGAAAATCTGAGACGGTACCCAGCCATGATTTTCTGAAAATTTGTTGAGTTGGCACGGAATGACCCATATTAAATTTGATTTATTTATGTATTTTTGGGATTAATGTTAATTTTTATCATCTATTTGTAAAAGTCTTTTGGTCTGTAATTCTTACAGGCAGAAGCGGATTGGTGCAAGAATAATTTTATCCAGTTAAGACGAATCTTTGATGTATCAGAGCTTGTGAAGGAGTTAATTAAACGACTCGCCGAATTTAATATTCACTTACCACGTGGACACCCACGTAATCAACCACCAAGGAATCCTGTTCATGACATTATTATTCTAAAGGTTTGTTTATGTATCAATTTATTCTTATAACAATGATTTACATTGAACACAAAGTGGCTTTCAGATTTCATTATTTCATTTGTACCAGTCAAAATTGGACAAGCTAATATTTCAGACTTGGAGCTGTATTTTGGTGGTTAAGATGCTTGCTCTCCTATTCCAGTGTCCTGGGTTCAATTTTTGTCAGTGACAGGGTTTTTTAGTTCTCAAGACAACTCCACTCCCCAAGTCTTGTATCGAGACTTACGAGAGCGTCTTGTGTGCATGTTTGTCTTGTGTAAGGGGTTGCTACTTAGACGGGTATATGTTAACTATTAGCTCAATCCTTGGCCCAATATGTGCGTAAATAATGAATAAGAAATAAAATAGAAGTAATATTTTTGTTTAAGCAAATAAGCTATCTCATTGCTGAAGTTTACCTTAAGAAAGATTTTTCTGGCCTGCAATTCTATTATTTCCAGAAAATATCATTTTCACATCCAAGAAATAAATCCACTGTATTTATACTTTACATGAACTATTGATTGTACAATTTCATGAGTTTTGGATTAATGTTGTTTTTTAACATATTTTTATACTTTTGAATTTTGACTGTAGCTTATCTTAGCAGGAGCATTCTATCCAAACTACTTTCTGCAGTTGCCGTCAGATGAAGAGGATGCTCATCGGCAGATGTCTGGCAAAGACCCCTGTACCACAGTGATGGTGAGTGCTAATGCTTTAGGCAATCACATGAAGTACTCTCTTATATAAACATTCTAGACATAGTAGCTCACAACTCCCCATTTTGAATGTTGTACTAGCCTAGTGGATGCCTAAGCCTTGCTGAATTGTTACAAGTTTTTATGCTATTTAGGAGAGAAATCGGTTGTTACTAGAGTCGCTGATGATAAAAAAAAAAAAAGACGTCATAGTAGAAATATTTACCTGGGACTATAAGCACTGCAACACTTTTTTGAAATATAAAGTCTTCAATTATATACCACATATATTGGTCATTATTATCTATTTTTAGAATTGCATCACATTTGTGCCCCAGGCATATTTTTTACTATGGCTGTGGCATAGACATTTTATTTCAAAGACTTAATCGTTTTTGTAATAGCTACTCCAACATGACAAAAGCTAACTGAATTAACTTGGGCAGGGGCAGTTCCGGAGTACAAAGGGGCTAGGAACTTTTTTAAAAAAATGAAAGGAGAAGCTTCTAGGGCCTGCAAAAGAGAGGGGGAAAAGAGAGAAGAAAATACAAAGGAGAAAGAAGGGGAACACAATTCTCCAAAACCAAATTTTCCCCTCCCCTTCATGGTGTTTTGCACGTTGTATGGCCCCTACTCAGATTTTTCTCTGTATCGACCTTGTTGGGTATTACTGATCCTCTATGTTGATATTCTTTTTTTGTAAAAAGAAGAAAGAAATAAATAATTAGTTGAGTAAAATATACTCAGTAAAGTTTTTTTTTTAAATTTCTAGGTTAAACGTATGCCGCAAAATGCATGCCATAACAGTGCTGCCGTAGCAGCTTTGTTCAGGCCCTGTGGTAAAGGAAAGACACTGCACTTTGAAGAGAGCAAGTAAGGATAATCTAAATATAGAACTATAGTAGAACCCCTCCAATGGGACACTTCTATTAAGGGGACACTTTGGCCACGAAACAAGTAGTAGTATATCTTTTAACAGTATAGCTAACCCATCTGTGAGCACCTCTATTAAGGGGACACTTTTTCGGCCACGAAAACAATTGGTAGCATATCTTTTAACAATAGAGCTAACCCATCAGTGGGCACCCCTATTAAGGGGGACACTTGTTTGTTTTTTTGTTTTGTTTTTTGAAGGTGTCCCCTTAATAGCGGTTCTATTGTATTTATCTTTTGATTGGTACAGATGTTAATGTTGATGTAGTTTTAAGCCTGTGATGTGCCATTATTCAATTTTCATTTTGTTTATTCTGCTTTGCAAATAGTATAACTGCTTGCAAAGATTAAAGAAGCTTTCACACCTAGGTTGTTTTGTAGCAGGTCATAGCAGTTATGAAATAGTGGCAGCATTTTGTAGAAAATTGACCACAAATAGAAAACTTGTAGTCCACTAATGACCACATTTGATTTATTTAAAGCTGAAAACATTTTATAATAAATGCAAATTGTGCCTTTCATTATTATTTAAATTTATCACAATCATTTTCTTTATTAGGTGTTTTGTTGAGTTTGAAAGACTACATATGTTAAGCAATGGAGATACCCAGAACATGGTTTTGCCTGCTGTATACTTAGCTGTCAAAATGAGGTAATGTTCATGTCCAGAATTTATAACATCATCAGACCCCTTGTAAATAGTAAAAGAGTTAGTTTTAAATATATATATAACATTTTAAAAGTTTCCATTAATCAACAATAAATGTCAATCTTAATTAACTAAACTTCTAAAGTCTGAACCAATCAGGGAGCTTGTTCTTATCAAGACACTTTAAAATAGGAAATATAGTGATACTTTACTTTAGTAGTTGACTCTAAATTCTGCTTAATTTACTTTTGTTTATCGATTGTAAAACCATGGAGTTTAGATTGCAGGGATAACATTTGATAATGTTGTGCAAAAGAATTCCCCCCCCCCCCCGACTTTTTATTGTGTGCACCACATCCCTCAATAATTAACAGGAAAATGATGATATAACATCCAATAGGGGGTACCAACATATAAGATTGCCATTAAAGTTGCATGTGTTATTTTTTGCAGGAAGTTAGGGTTGCCATTAAGGTTTCATGTGTTATTTTTTGCATTAAGTTAGGGTTGCCATTAAGCCTTCTTGTGTGTTTTGTTTTTTGCAGACAGTTAAGGTTGCCATTAAGCCTTGATGTATATGAAGCCAAAGAAGAGAATGTAGAAGCATTGAAGACCAAAAATGAAGATACAGTGAAGGAAAGAAAACTAAAAACCAACAGGTAAAGTTAATATGTACAGATCATGATAAGGCCCAAAAATATTGTTTGTTTGCCCTCCAGCGCCCACCCCTAGCTCACTGAAAAATAGGGATGGCATTTTTTTAAAAAGTTTTTTTTTTTTTTTTGGATTTTTGGTTCACAAATTTAAGAAAGTGATCTTTATTTTTCTCCATTTTGCGCATGAAATGTCTAAATTTGGAGTCTGATGTAAGGTTTCGCCATTTTAGGCCGAAATTCGTTAGAGATATTGATTATGGGTTATTTTTATTCAGTCTGATGAATACCCTTTGAAAAACAATATGAGACAGGCGCTTAATTGCAAGCATTGCGATTTAATATGTTAATTTTGGTGACAAGAGAAAAAAAAAACTAAAAAAAAAAAAATTGTTTGCATCCACCCCTCCTATATAATTTTCAGCATTAAAGGGCAAACAAACAATTTTTGGAGGGTGGGGGGCGGTGGGTCTAATATTATGCTAGTAGTAGTAGTATAGTGCACCAACATTTATTTTGTTATTATTTTTATTGTTTTATTGTACAGAATTGGGACTTCTTTCGACGACAGTGAACCACAGTTTGTATCACCACCTTCAGCTGACAAATCATGGATCAAGATATATGTGACAGAGGTAAAAGAATGTTATTCAATGTAAGGCCTTACATTGCATCATTAATTACCAAAATCGGCCACAATTTTTAAAAATTTATAAGCATTCATAAATTTGGTAGAACATGAATGGCTGAATGGCTTTGCAGTTATGAATAAATAAAAAAATAAGTATAGAAATACAAAGAAAAAGAAAGGCTGGTCTCATGAGGTGTAATAGCTGTATGCCTCTTTGTTTTCAATCATCACGGTCCTTGTCCTTTGACCTTTTTTCCAAAAGTTAATCATCATTCCACTAAACTTTATGATGATCCATTTTTTAATTTTTTTTTTTTTGTGTGTAATATTGCTAAAAGAACAGACAGACATGGGGGAATACATAATCTCTGTGGTGGAGGTAACAAAATACATACACACACTTAATTTTCCTTAAATTGATTTTCCAACCAACTTTATACTAATTATTTGCACTTTGATTGCACTGTATGTTATTCATTGTATTTTTGTAATCATTTTGTTTTTATTTTATTATATCAGCCGCAATTTTACTGATAAGCTACAAATAAGATATTAAGGAATACAATTTGAACTTTGAACTTCATGCTTTAGAACATTATAAATTATCAGGTTTCAGATGGAAATCACCTGTGGGCCCATGATGCAGAACCAGAGACCTTTGAACAACTTGGATATCTTATGGAAACCATCAATGGAAACTCATACAACACTCAACGGGTAATTTCTTTATTAATATATTACAAACGGAAACTTGTGGGAAATTGCAAGATCATTTCCTGTTTCGACATTATTCAAGTTTTATTGACGTTGTAATCACACTATATCAAGTTTCATGCGACAATTGCATGTGAATTCACCATATATAGACATAAAGATTTATGGCTTCCATATATGGGCATGATGAATTGACATAACCCATATATGGGCAAATTGCAAGTATTTTGAAGCTCTATCCTCACTATGAAGTTTCATGTGACAAATGTGAGTGCATTGTCCTTATATGGGCATAAAGATATCATATGACATCCATATTTGGGCATGATAATGCCACATACCCATATATGGGCAAATCGCAGGTGTTTGCCACAAATGTAATAACAGAGCTTAAGATTGTCCTACTTGAAATAATTATGTTTATATATTTATAGAGGAAAGAAACTTTTAAAAAGAGGTATATTTACTATTTATATCAAACTGGCAGTTTCTGGCAAAAATAGTATATTTAAGCAACATGGGTTTTTCATTTTACAAGCTGTGTCAGTAGTTTCTACCTTGTCTTGTTTGTTATTGACTGGTTGAATATTGGTATATTATAATTGGTGTGTGTTAGCTCTACTATGCAATATATAGATATGCCATCATCTATAATCATTTTCAATAGTTTAATAGCATAATTAACTTTTCCATCATTATAATTTACTATCAATTTACTATCAAGTTTTATTATTATTTTATCATTATTTCAATTATTAATATTGTTTTTAATATTCTTAACAATTATGTAAACCAAATGTATTTGTACATTTACATGTACATTTTATACTTCTTACTTACTTCTGCCCATTTTGCCTCCTGGCACTTAGGGCAGCAACCAGAGCTTTCCAATCACTCCTGTGTTGGGCCAACTGCTTTAAGGACTCCCATGAGTACCTCAATTCTCTGAGTTTCTTTTCCCCTCTGGAGTCCAATGCAAAGATGTGCATGCGATGTTATCAGGCTCCTTTCTTAGCACCTTTACAAGCCATTTCCTTCTTACATACATGTACATTTTATACTTGTATATATACTGTATATTCACATATTTTCGTGTTTTAATGTACTGTACAAATCATTAAAATTCAGCTTCTTAAGGAAGCTGCGAATGTGATTTTAAATAAACTCGAACTTGAACTTGAAATATTAATAAATCATTCTAATATCATTGCTTATCTTAGTGATGCTTACCTTAGTGATATGAAACAGGCAATGAGAAAGAGCAGTGAAAGAGGCTATTGTATTATTTTATTTGTTTTATTATTATTATTAAACTACACCTAACCAACAAGTCTATTTTCAGAGGTTGATTTCTGTGGACGTTGGACAGTATTGTGTGGCTCCATTTGAAGATGATACCCTGATGTACTACAGAGCTAGGATTGAAGCAGTCAAAGGAGATATGGTAGAGGTAAGATTCCTAACCTGTACCAACAACTACTATAGACTACATTATCATTTTACTTCTATGTTTATACAACTTGATCACTATTGATGCATGTGATTTGTTTGCATTTGGTTGATAATAGTTGAGCAAATGTAATCTTTATTTGAGTGTGCAGTATATTTTTGTTTTTGTTAGCTATAAGAATATTTTATCATTTAATATTATGTTAATTATTTTTTAATTTATTTTGTTAACATATTATGCAGTATAAACAATACATTCATGTATTGGTGCAGTTTGTAGGGCTGTAAAAGCCCTTTCACATCTGTTCAGGTTTCCTTTCATGTAACAGCCCATGTTCAGGCAAAACAAAACGGATATCTATTTTATCCATGCTGAAAACATGTTCTGTTCACATTTACTCTGTTCTGCTATATGGCAACCAGCTATAGTTCTGGCTACCGGATCAAATCGGTCTACGACCGATTGTTTTTCCCCTTGCTAGAATACCGGACGACTTCTGAACAATCAAAAGCCACAGTTTCGAAGTGAGGCAAGAGAGAGTGCAATGGCTTCGGCAGAGACAAGATCAGATATTATAGAAGAATTGCTAATGCAAATCCAGCTAAATACAATATTATATGATAAAAGTTCTAAAGATTACAGAGACGACAAACAGTGGAGCATCGTATTTTCCGAATATTTTGGCCAGGTTTGGAATAACACGTACGTACGTGCCTATAGTAGCGCCCCCCCCCCCCTCTGAGGGACTTATGTCTAGGCCAGCCTAGTTGACTCTTCTTCCTAGCTTAGGCCAGGCCTAGCTATTGTCTAGCCTGAGTAGATTTAAACAGCAGATAAAAAACTGAAACATGAATAGAAAACTTGAACTGGAACCTGAACAGATGTGAAAGGACCTAAAGTCCTGTTGGGATACAAACTTCTTCAGCATTAGTTTGGACATTTGTGGTGGATCCAGAGACCTTCTTTTCCAGGGTGGCATGAGTGCCAATCGAGGACCTTTTTTCTCAAAGAGGCAGAACATCATGGTCAAGAGAGGAAGGTTTTGGGGTGTTTCCTTGCCTCATAGTGTGGGATCCAGGGGGCTATCTTCCCTGAAATATTTGGACTTTCAGCCATTTTAATGTCTTATCCTTTTGCAACCTTCTGGATTCACCACTGGACACAGATACCTGAAGCTTAAGATATCGAAATTCCTGCAAGATTTGACAATACCAAGATTTAAACAAAAACATTGTACAAAAAATATTGTAATAATCCCTATTTGATTCCCTAACAAATCCAGCCTTTGTAGCCAGTGTGTAATTGTATAATTTTGTATATCACTCAAGTTGATGTTTTTAATCATAATTATGGGTAATTCATTGTCTTAATTGGATTTTCTAAGGTTTTCCATATTTTTCTTCAAAATCGTACTGGTCTTCCATAGGTCTTTTTCCTGGATTATGGAAATGTAGCTTCAATGCCGTCAAATGTGTTACGAATGATTCATCCTGATTTGTTGAAACTTCCATTCCAGGTAATCCATTTGTTTATATAACTTGCACTCTAACTGTATACAAACCAAGAATATATTGGTAATTGCCTTTAATAAACATTTATCTGATAGCTTATTCTACATGCGAAAGTCCCATCATTAGATCTTTACATTTGGTTTTGTGTGTTTAAAGATGTGAAAACATTTTTTTATTATTACAGTTGGACTTGCCGAAGTTGAGTCCAAAATGCCCTTGAAATATTTTTCGACTTAGATAAAATTCGACTTACAGATTGTTAAATAATGGAATACATAACAAAAAAATGTAAAATTAAATCGACTTAGAAATTAATCGACTTAGAAATTATTCGACTTAGAAATTATTCGACTTAGAAATTATTCGACTTAGGCAAAGTGGATTTGAAGTTTAACTGTATTTGAATGCTGCAAATGCCTTATAACCTCTTCTGTCAGACAAAGTTTGTATATATAATGCTCATGAATATTTGCACTGAGCATTTTCTCAATGTATTGCTTAATACACAATAACTGTACATGATAGAACTGCAATTACCTTAAACTTTGGTTTGTTTATGCGATATAGAATCTTGATATTTATATATATCTTGATTGATTGATTGGTTGGTTGATTAACAGGCATTTGAGTGTGTCTTGTGTGAAGTAAAACCATTCTACCGACTGGTGAACCAAAATCGCTGGATGCCTCAGGCAAAAGAGAGACTCACAGAATTAGCCTGTAACAGAGTAATGTTGGCTAAGGTGAATATATATTATTTTATTATTATTTACCCATATTAGATTCAACCAAATGAAAAATAAACTGTGCACTTTATGGGAGGGTGGGTGGAGGGGGCAGTAGGATTTGTCATATGACGTAATGAATGCATGGCTGTGGGCATGATATGAATATAGGTGTGATATCTTTACAGGTGTGATATCTTTACAGGTGTTTTCTGTCGTTGGTGGTGTCTTGCGTATTGAGCTGGTTTCATGTATGGGTTCAGAAGAGGTCAACATCAACGAACTTCTTGTCAAGGAAGAGTTAGTAGAAAGAACAGAGGAACCACTCGCTTCCAAGGTATTGGTTTGTATTATATCTTCATTTCAATCTTTATTTAATGAAACAACTATTATAAAAGTATAGTATACGATAATAATATAGTCACTTTATTTATTCACAAAAACTTATTCAATAATGATAATATTTTCTACCGTAAGATCGTGGTTAAAAACACCATAAATACATGAAAACAGGTTAATATAAATAAATAAAAAAATAGAAAATACATTATAAAAAAATCACTTAAAAACTATCATAAAAATGTTAAAATTGACATCATTAAAAGGCAACTAATAATACCATTATGTTAATACATTTTCGGATGATCTAAATTTGTTAAATAATTTGCATTCTGCAGATCAATCACCAGCAACGTCTAGAACAGGCTGCTCACTACCACCTGGAGGAGAATTATGACGAGTCTCCCAAGATGCCTGATCTGCAGGACCGTAGGAAATTTGTAAATGTGGGAAAGGTAGGAGGAGTCTAATTGGGTTATCAATCTTGCATCCTCCATCCCCATAACTATTTTAGGCAAAGCACCCTGTAGCATTTGGCAGGATTTTGAATATTTAGAATTAGTCAAGTGGAATTTCTTAATGGACAGTTCTGTTCAACCCTGCCTTTTCAATGTTGTTGCTAACATCCCATATGACAAATGTGTTAACCTTTAGAAACTTTTGTGCCTGTGGCACATGCTCTTATTCCTGGCTGGTTTGTTAAAACCAGGCTCAGGAAGGGAAAAACAAATTCTTGCACAGGGATATAGTTATGTTGGGTGGGACCACCCACCCTTGAAGTTTTTCACCCAGTCTAAAGCTAATTTCATGGCCATCTACCCACCCTTATTAACCTAATTTTATTTATTTTTTTAATTCTTTTTATTTAGAGTCTCCCTGATGTTATCACACACACACCCTTAAAATGTGTAGTACCTATCCTTAGTTCTCTACAGCTACAACCATGCATGCATGATTTTTCCAATACACAAAAAGGTGTTTGACGAAAAACCTTTTTCCACCTTTTTACCCAGTCTTTAATATTTAAAAAAATCTGTATCTTATTAACCATTCCCAAATTTTTCATCAAACACCCTTTTTGTGCCTTAGAAAAATCAGTTATACAACATTGGGCTTATTCGACTGGTTCATAAAATAGAGTTCGTTGACAATGAAAATTAACGTAACCAGAATGCGTTAATCAGCATTAAGTTATGCACATGACCAAACAAAATATGGCTAATTGGTCAGTTGAGCAACAACATTTGCGTTAATATAATTTAGATTAAATTTCAGAAAATAAAAATTATAATATTTACCCACATTGAAGTAAAAAAACTAATTGTAACTTAACAGAATTCAAAAACTGGATGAAAACATTTTTTTACGAAAAACCCATAATGCCACAATCTGAAGCAGCCTTGATTATGCAGCTTGTATCGCAGTAACTATGCAGCCATTTTGTTTTGTCGAGTATTTACCAGTTTTCTATTCGACTGGTGGTCTTTGTTAAGTAGGATTTTACCTCTGCATAGGTGGGTGTGGTTTAACGAAGAACAACCAGTCGAATACGGCTATAGATTTTTTTTCCCTCCTGTTCCTTGCTTTAAGTTTGCTTTACACTGTCTTAATCTGTATTCTTTACTTTAGTCATCACTTATAAAAATCATTCTGTAGCATTTTTGTGTTAAATTCCGATGTGTGAGCTTTTCAATATACTATATTAGAAACCTTTTTTTATATTTTTTCAATTTCAATGTAATTTTGTTGATTAGGTGAATCTTCAGGGGCCTTACAGTCCATTGGAGGTAAATTTCTCTGGTGTCACAGCTATAGGAAGTATAAGGTTAGCCATATTTTTTTATTGAATCAATACTAATCATAAATTTCTATGAAAATAAATAAAGAATGATTATACAGTATAATGTTAGATAACATTAGCTAATGTATTTTTACAGTCATTAGATTGTTCATCAATTATATTATGTAATATGTTAGATAATCAAATTAGTTAACTTATTGATATATTGTGCAATCACAATAGTTACATTATATAATGACCAGACTATTAGTCTTGCTTTGAAATGGGGCTGTAGCTTGGTGGTTATGATGCTGGCCTTCTAATTACAGGGTCTGGGTTCAAATCATGCAATATGCATTGAATGAAGCTGTAGCTTGTTGGTTAGGATGCTTGCGTTTCAATCCCAGGGTCCTGGGTTCAAATCATGCAATGTTCATTGAATGGAGCTGTAGCTTGTTGGTTAGGATGCTTGCCTTCCAATCCCAGGGTCCAGGGTTCAAATCATGCAATGTTCATTGAATGGAGCTGTACCTTGTTGTTTAGGATGCTTGCATTCCAAACCCAAGGTCCTGGGTTGAAACAACTGAAAAACAACTCCACTCTGTAAGATTCATAAAAACGAAAACTTAATTTATAGTTTATAAAGCATTATTCCATGCTGTAAGTGGCAAGTGTGCTTGCTGTTGGATGTAAAGGAAATAGTAATAGAACTAATAGAATGTATATTGCATCAAATTTGAAACTTAGTTCTGCCCAGTGGCGCATTTTATTTTTTAAACATTTTTTTTCTTTTGGTGATAACATATTTTGTATCTTCACAGGTCAGTACGGATAGAAAGAGAGAGCGTCAACTCAGTGACGCTGGACAATGAACCTCAGGCCACATACCAGAAGCTGATGGTAGCAGCTCATGTTAGCCTCAACAACTCCGGCTCATGCCTGATTGCACGCAGTACAACTCTTATGCCTGACATCAAGGGCCTACCTCCTCTTATCTGCATCCTCTTTGCACCAGCTATTGAGCTGCGGTAAAGATAGGTTCTTGATTTGTTATATAATACTTAAAATCCTTATTTTATTATGTTATCTTATAATAGAACCTGTCTAGGTTATTTCTTTTATCACCGAATATTTTTTTTCCTTTAAGCGCATTGATACTATCAAGTCCCACTACATTATATTGTATAAAGTTCTTCCTCCAACTTAAGACTATATTTGGAACGAGGGTTTCCATGGTCCTTAGATAAAAGACATTTGTGAATTTGGGACCACAGAAAAATGGTCTTTAATTGGAGGTGTTTTTTGATTGGAGAGTCTTTAATTAGAGGGAGACATGTAATATCATCACATATATGTCATATATTATCATATATCATATTATATTATATCTTCCTGTTTCTTAATACTATGGGCAGCCCATGGGCCAACTTTGGCTCACGGAGCCATTAATCTGGCCCCTGTCACACGGGCTAAGTTCGGCTCACAGAGCCATTAATTTGGCCCATGTGACAAAATGAAATTAAATAATAAAAAAAAAAGTAAATCATTTGATAAATATTTTTCCCATTATAATTGAATACATAAATGCAACCACTGGACCATGTCCACTAACAACATTTAAGGAACGATCATGCATTGAATAGAAGATAAAAATTTGCAGGTTTGTACACAACACACTGAGATCTAAAAAAAACTTATAACGACGACTGTCAACAAATGTCAAAAATATTAGTATTATAATTTCTAGTTATATTTGCCAAAGCCAGGGAAGACTTGATAATTGAGTAGACTCAAAATCGATGTGGTTTGAAAACAGCACTAAAGCACTTGCACCTGCTGCTTTTCCCTTCAAAATTTTTCCCATTTAGATTTTTCCTCCCGGCTATTTTCCTCTGGCTATTTACTTCTGGCTATCTTCCCCCAGTATTTTTCCTCCTAGTTTTCCCACTGAATTTTTTCATTAGTTTATACTGTATAAGTCAATTATATTGTATAAGGCCATGTAAATTTGTTTCTATTTTTGCTGTTTTTGTTTTCTCTATATAAATTAATTAAGGTCCTGTAGTGTGTAAGGTTACACAAAAGCGTTATCCAATCAATTGACTGATTGACTCTTGATGTATTTGAAATACTGATGAAGCCTAAAGACGCATTGTAGAAACGTAATTATAAAAGGTTTGCATCCGGGTTCGCATATGAAATAGAGAAAAATAAAACAGGGAATTTCTTTTAACATACTTGCTCTTTTAATTTATGAAGTTGTAGTGGTTGTATATACTCTATACCCCTATTTTTCTGCATCAGCTAATATTCTGGCAAGGAGCGGAAATATTATTTCTGGTAAGGAGCAACAACAGGAAGGGCGCGATAATTTATTATTACCGCGTCTTTTGCTCAGAGCGCCCTTTAGTGATACTCTATTTCATTAAGTATAATTCAATTAGTGTTATTTAATTTGTTTAAGCATGGAGGAATAATTTAGTACTTACTCATCCAGTATTAAATGTTTATATTACTAACATTTGTTAACACACTGGATGCAGTTTCTTATTGTTTTAACATTCTGTTTATCTTGTGACAAATATATGATATTGATATGCATTCTTTACTTCAATTTACAGAATTTTAATGTTTGCAGTACATTTAGAATTTGGAATTACCAGAACCATTACAACAAGTTCCTTCTTGACTCAGATATTATCTATGGCCTGTAAACTCATAACTATAAAAAAAAATGTTTTGGCCCTTTAAATAAATTAAGAACCAGGGTTATATCATAATACTTTGTATTTATTTATTAATTACTGTATGAGACTTGTCATCCTAAAACCAGCATCTATGACCAAAAAATGAAAATTTACTTTTTAATAAATTCTTATTCTCCACATTATAAGCATTAAAATGATGAGCCATTTACTGGAATCGGGCTACTATTGCCCAAGTTATGAGTTAAGGTATTATGGCTTCTCTGTAGTAAAGTATACAATTTTGTCACATTCTGATGCTAATTACTGAGTTTAACATTCAGCAACAGTACGCTGGATTTGGGATGGTCAGCCTCATATTAAGTATGGCAGGGATGTAGGTGAGGTGGGTGGAGTCACCCAGTCTAAAGCTAATTTCATGGCTGTCCACCCACCCTTATTAACCCACTTTTCCATCTTTAAAATACATTCATTATTTAGAGTTAATACCATGTTATCATACACCCACCCCCAAATTGTATATCACCCAACCTTAGATTTCTTCAGCTACAACCCTGGTGTGTGGTGACTGTTTGGCCAAGGGGTATTGTTGCATTTTTCAACACCTCATTATCTTTTCCAAACTTTGTATTTATTATACTCATAAGGTCTCTATGATCTCTATCTGTAAAAAATCTATGTTGTCATTAAAACTAGATTAAATTGCTGAGCATATTATTATTTTTTTACGGATTTTAGGATGGATAAAAACAAGTCACGCATGACAGGGGTGTTGTGTGGACTTGGATGGGATTCTCTCGCTAACGGTCCAGCACTCCCAGATCATGATATTGAAATCCCATTTGATGTTAAAATCACAAAAAATGACATCATAAAGGTAAGTAATTCAGCCAGTCTCATCATCCTCACATAAATGTAGGTTTGCTGGCCTAGTCGTTGTCTTATTATATAAGTTTTACAGGCATAGACATCTTTTCATAATTTGCTGTTTGCTAGCCAAGCCTTCCTCTCAAAGGTTAACTGCCTCAGTCATCATGCATAAGGAGGGCTGACTCAATAGTTATCCTACTGTAGTTATCCTCTCAAAGGTTGCCTACTTTATAGTCATCCACTCACGAATCTGGCTAGTTCAGTCATTATCTCATAAAGATAGATTGGCTAGCCTCATCATCAGATCAAATGTAGGCCTGCTAGCTTATTCATCCTCAAAAATATATGTTGGCTAGCCTAGGCATTCTCATAAAGGTAGTTTAGCTAGCTATTTACGGTGTATTGTTGTCTAGGCTAGTCATCTTCCCATTGAATGGCTTGGCTAGCCTTCGCATCCTCATAGTCAAAAATGACCATTGGATAGTGAATATTAACAGCAGTCATTATCTCATAAAGATAGATTGGCTAGCCCTATCATCAGATTAAATCTAGGTCTGTGGCTTAGTCATCCTCCAAAATATTGGTATGGCTAGCCTGGGCATCCTCATAAAGGTACTGTAGTTCATCTAGCTAGTCATTGTGTGTTGTTGTCTAGGCTAGTAATCTTCCCATTGTATCTGTATTGTCTTGTGCAAACACCATGTAAGGTTGTCGTCGCTTGTATTAAAGCGAGTTGGCCAGCCTTCGCATCTTCCTAGTCAAAAATGTAGATTGGCTAGTGAATATTACCAGCAGTCATTATCTCCTAAAGATAGATTGGTTAGCCCCATCATCAGATCAAATGTAGGTCTGCTAGCCTAGTTATCCTTATAAATTTAGGTTGGCTAGCTAGTCATGGTGTATAGTTGTCTAGGCTGTCATCCTCCCATTGAAGTGGGTTGGCTAGCCTTTGCATCCTCATAGTCAAATAGGAATGTGTTGGTGACATCTTCACATTTTCAGTGCACAATGATATAAGACAATAGAAATTGTCTACAAATTATGATTTATGATATCTCTTTTGTATAAAAAGTGATATGAAACCCACAAAATATCAGTTCAGACATTTATTTATATCTGCTATATTTTGTCAGTGAAAAATATAAAAATGAATAAATATAAAAAGAATACAAATATGAATACTCTAGTATATCCTGGTACTAGAGGAACTTGCCAAGTGGTATTTGCCTTCCATTGTACACTCCTTTTCCTCTCCATGCCCCTGTAAGCTTCAACATTTTAGCTTCACATGAGCTGCATTTGATTAAATTTTAACCATTTTAGGTACTGATTTCAGTTTTTGTAAAGAATAAATAAAGGAATAAACAATTAAACAAAATATAATCAATAATTGTTGCCACAAAATCTAGTATATCCAAGGCAATTCAACAACAGGTCGCACATCTCTGCACATCAAATGTTATAACTCTGGCATCAACATTCTACATGTGTCGGTTACACAGTCCTAAAGATTTTTTGAACTAAATTTGGACTGAAATTATATTTGTTATTTCATCCTTAATTTTATCAATGAGGTGTTGTCTAGTGGTTCATGAAACTCATTTTGCGGAAAAAATAAATAAGTTTTCTGTATCTACTCAAATGTTTGTTTGGTGCACCTGAGTCCAACATTGTCAAAATGACAGTTTATTGTTATATAAGAAAGTGAATTTTTATACAAAATTATAAATTTTCATTTGCTATAACTTTTCATTTTTTGGTCAATTTACACAAATAGAATTGTTGTAAAAGCACTTAACAAGCTTGTGGTCAAAAGAAATCAGACATTTTGAAGTGCCCAAAATTCATAAAATAGTAACTAACACCACAAAACGTATGGCACGCATAGACTAATAATTGACGACTTTACTCGCAACTAGTATTGAATTTTCGATGCCATAGTTAAGATCAAAGGACTACGCATGCGCTATGATCGCATGCGTGCGAAGATGTGCGTCCTGTTGTTGAATGGCCTTGGTATCTTGGTACTAGAGGAACTTGCCAAGTGGTATTTGCCTTCCATTGTACACTCCTTTTTCTCTCCATGCCCCCGGAAGCCCCTACGTTTTAGCTTTACATGAGCCGCATTTCATTGAATTTTAACAATTTTAGGTACTGATTTAGGTTTTCAGTTTCTCTTAAGAATAAATAAAAGAATACACAATTGAATACAATAAATCAATAATTATCCCCTCTAAAACCTTTATTGAGGGGCTCACTGGCTGTTTTTTCTATTCTATTAATTTTTTAATTATAACTTTTAGAAGGCCTATCATTGAACAGATCCATAATAGCCCTGTGCCCCAGTGCTTTGCACTGCCCATACTTACTACACCACTGTAGAACTGTGCCTAAATCATGCTAGCTTCCTCACTTTCTTGAGAACAGGTAATTAGGGAAGGTGAAAGACATTCATCCAAGAATATATCTCACTTATATTTTTACTAATATCATTATTTTGTGTATTATAAATTTTCTTCCACTTCAAAGGTAAATGGTCTCCGCCTAGCCATCAATCTTGCCATTGGTTCACCAGATGCTATTACTCAGTGGGGACCATCTGCCGTTGCCAGGATTCAGAACCAAGCCAGAGAAAAAATTCTGGAGTAAGGAAATCAAATTTGCTTTGTTATTGCGTATATTAGCTACTGTATGTGCATTGATGGCGCCAGGATCTGCCCGACGGGCCTAAAGGCTCCGACGCAAGGGGGGGGGGGGGCTAGGCAAGTGAAGTAAGCCTCACTTGGCTGGGGGCCAGGGGCCAAAGCCCCCTGGAAGCTAGGGATATTTGACGGGTTTTGGTGAATTTTTATTAGTTATTTGATAGGCATCAAGCTACCGTAATATGACTTCATGTATGTTTTTTAATGTCAAAATTAACTTCCAAAACTGAAAATTTTTCAATAAAACAATGAGCAACAAAGAGAATGCAATGTAACCAACTAACTTTATTTTCAAATCCATTTTCCATTTTATATTATTTAAAAAAAACACTGTATTACATTACTACTGCATCCTCCCATCATGGTGAAATCCAGGTTTTTCATAATCCATGTGATTGTGAATTATTAACAACAAAATTACGAATAAGAATGTCTTACTGTAAATTGTAAGGCAACCAATTTTTGACATTATACTACGATAAATTAAGAAAACACAACGTCACCAGGAACGTCACAGTACAAGCTTATAATTCGAAGTAAAGTTCTAAATTTTTGAAATTTTGCCTGAAATCTGTAAACCATGAGGTTGCTTCCCAAATCAAGATGTCTTCCAAGTATCATGAGGATATCCAAACGGGCATTTGTCCTAGTAGAACGTAAACCATATTTAATTAGTC